CTATAACTAGAAGAGCTAATAACTAAAATAATGAAGCCTTAATTAGAACCACGAGAAGAAAAACACAATGCATTTTATACCCTCTCTGAAGATAAACCTCAAATAAATCATCCAAACCAAACAATGGAAAAACTAGACAACGCAATATCAGAGACATTTCCTAATGAGCCCACAAAAATAATTGTGTCGAATCCAACTAGACAAGGAAATTCAAGAAATAAATCTCCTGGTAAACATGAACAATCTGAAAGAAAAGAACAAACACAATAGCGACCAAAAGCAAAAATAAAATTAAGCATTGACCGAAAACAGATTCGAAGGACTCAAGGAAATTGACATAGAAGATCAAAACTTTCCAACGATTAAAATTCCCAACCAATAATCCATTCAAAACAAAATCTAAATCATGACATTCATGAAATATCAGATACTTGAAGGCTAATTTCATTGAACTTACTTATCGTGAATTTTTCTCCGATAATTAGTCATTTCTCGGAATATCAAAAATAAGAAAAAATATAAAACATTACACCTCCAATAATTATACTTATATTGATAGAACTTCAGGTAGTGTATCCATAATAGTAAATAATATGATAACACAGTCAGATTCCTTAAAATATAAACTTAAATGTAATCAGAAACACTAAACAAAGCCTTAACTTATTAAGCTCCATATTCATACCACTAAATGACCAAATAATTGAACTAGAACTTGATAATATAATTCAACTCGTCTCAAAACCTGGGACATTTTTATGAACGCAGTGAGATATGGAAAAGTAGAGAAACAAACAGAAGAATTCAAATTATAGGATTAATGATAGGAAAAAAATAAACGTATGTACAATAATAAACCCAAGATGTCACATACTCGGCTATAGATTTAACCCTATAGGATCCTACCACATTCATCGACTTCAACTTTAGAGCACACAATACCACCTGTCGAAGCGACCATTTTTCAATTATATTGGAAAATTCAGGCTCTAAACTTGGCCAAAAAGCATCACGATGTGAACTACAAAACACTAACTGGGAAAGATAAAAAAAAAAAAACAATACCATGACAAACTCCAGAATCAAATAAAACAGTGAAGAACACATCGCCTATTTTACAAAACCACTTACATCCATAATCAGTAGAGCCGAAACATGAAGAACTATAAACTAACCTCATGAAAGAACTATGTATAAAAAATAAATACTAATATGAAAACCAAATCTGTACGAGCCTTGATGGAAAAAATAATAGTGCCCCAATAAAATATTTCAATATCAAACCAATCATTGACATGAAAGACATAGCCAACGCCCTGGCAGACACGTTTACACATAATCCATCCTAAAAAGCTAAAACTAAAAACTTCCAACGTATAAAACAAAAGAAAACATGGAAAGCTACAATCAACCATTTTCTTTACGCGAATTAAAGAATCACTGACCAAAACTCACAACGTAGCAGTTGGTCCTGATGAGATACATCATGACTTTTTAAAAGAGCTACCTGAATATATTTTAAAAATCTGTAACAAAATATGGCTCAGTGATAACGTTGCTAATTTATGAAAGCGGGTCATAGTGATCCCCCTACCTAAACACACAAACACTCAAGCTGACCAGAATTGCAACACGGACCCATAAGATAACAGACCAATACCTTTCATCATTTGTGCTTGTCAAACGATAGAAAGAATGATAAACAACTGGCTTATGTGATATTTCGAGTCCCGTGAGTTAATAACAGTATTTCAATCTGAAATAAATGAAGTTCACTTGATAATCTGGTAAGATTAGAAACATTTCTAAGAAAAGCACTTTTTAAAACGAAACACGTGGTAGTCGTTTTTTTTGTTTTTTTTTTAACTTGGTATAAAGCATATGACACAGCATGGAAACATGGAATAATTAAAGACTTGAAGAAACTCGAATTAAAAGGTGGAATGTCAATTTTTATCCAATCTTTTTAGAAAAGCGAAACTTCAAAGTACAAGTGGCAACTACGCTTTCAGATTTAAAAAAGAAGGAAATAATGTATTGCAAGGAAGTATTTATCGGTCATTCTATTTATTATAAAAATAGGTAAAAAATTTTGAACCCGGAGTGGATTCCTCCTTGTATGTGGATGATTTTCTGGTATGTTATAAATTGAAGCATACGCGTACTATAGAACGCAAACTCCAATTATGACTAAATGGAGTAGTCAAATGAACTGAAGAGAACGGTTTCTTAAACATCGGAACTGAAAACAGTAAAAGATCGGAAGTGAAAGTATCTTCTGACAAAATATGAACTAGCATCCCACACCTCCTAATTCCATTTTTCAAATACATCATCTTAACCATTTCGATTATTGTAGTCATTCTATTATCTATTGTTCTTCAAATGTGTCGTTTCGTCATTGCCGTTTAAATCTCATAAAGGATGTAAAACAGCACAGAAAACGAACGTTTGTGCAGTGACTCTGTGTAAATGTCACTTTCTCTCCCTAATAAAACTCTCTCTATCTCTCTCTCTCTCTCTCTCTCTCTCTCTCTCTCTCTCTCAATGAAGCTGTGAAGTTTTCTTTTATACTTTTTACTCACTTCGCTGTCTTATCATGATTTGAGTCCAAATACATTTTCTTAGTCTTGGGATATTCTGCACGAATGAAGACATCAGTTTATCTCACTTAGTTTTCTTTTTATCAACCTCCAACTGAAGGTAAAGGCTACTATAATTGGTAATGGCGACTGAAAAGTCAGTATTTGATCAAATTTTATTTATCTACAACTTATCTCCTTAAATATATGATGTTCCTTTCCGAAAAACCTAGTACGCCCAGCCATCAGAATGTTTGCTTTATCTATGCCTTCATACTTTGTTTACATCTGATAATTCTTGATTTATCAATTCCCAAATCACATTTCCATTTCAAACAACAAGAAAAAATCCGCGAAACAGATCGAATGCCTTCTATGAGTTGTGTAAAATTGATTCATTTTTATTTTGCGTGTGACAGTGCACATATCTAGGAATTTAAGAAATTTTCAATTGACGATATTTACGTGTCTCTTCAGTTCTTGTCTTAAGGCAGGAGACAGGATTTTATTTTTATTCATCGCTCTTTTTAACTTTAAGTTAACCAAAATCAATTAGATGTAACTCAGGATTTTAAGTTACGACTTCATTTTGAGTTTACTTAACACTAAACAGATTACTAACAAATTTGAAATTCTAAAGGTATTTATAAATTCCTCAAGGACACATGGCACCGTGGATAAAGGCGTTAGTTAGATCCAGTGACAGGACTCAAAGTGTGTGAGTTCAATACCTGGTTAAGGCGGTGGAGAACTTGGAGTGGGGAATTAACAGGAGATAACTGAAAACTGACATCCATTAGACATGACATGTGGAACTAGAACAGTCTACCCCAGTGCGCGAAATAAAGGGTTCAGTTCGACATTCCAACCACCTAAAGAAGGCCGGAGCGTACAACGGCTGAAACGTTGTAATAAATAAGGCGACAAAGATGAGGACAATAGTCCGAGTAATGTAAATAGTGTACATAATACCTCATCTCAGAAATATAGACAGATACTTATAAATTCCTTTCTAAAGAAAAGTAATCTGCAAACTTTCAGGTTCTTAGCATATGTTCCTTTTTTAATGTGAAAGGGGTAATTTTTTCATTTATCCTTCCAGAGCTTTTTTGTAATTTATTCAAATTACTTCAAACTACTCTCATCACCAAATTAATTTTTTTCTCCTCTCCGAGTAATATTAGTAAGAAATGGGGTTTGTGCTTACAAATGAAACAAGAATTATCCTGCTTTGGATATTTGAGTCTTTTTTCTTATTTCTAAATGTTCGATATATATATATTAAAAAAAGGGGCAACTCGAATTGTTGGCTAATTTTTGGACTGAAAATTGTGTTATTTTACCGTTACATAACCCATTGTTGCAAAATTCAGGATTCTTTTAACAAACCTTTTAACACAAAAGAATAAAAATAGTGCAAAAATATTAGCTTACAGGATAAGAAAATCACACATTATTCAAATTCAACATTTTATTTCAGGTTGATAGTGTGAAAAATAAATATTCAGGCTATATACAATATTTACAGATTTGTTTTCGTAGAATTTATATTAAAAATGTGAAATTGGAGTAAAGAAATATGTTTTGCTTTCATTTCCTTCCTGAATAGTAACGAGTGCTCAATTTCACATTCAAACTTTTATGACCAAATGCGTATCGATGGCAAGTTCCTTTGGAAGTGATATTTACACTAGACAATAATTTTACTTCATAAAAATCGATTTGTTTTTTTTTAAATAATTTTACAGAATCACAAACAGAAATTCGTGCGGTTGACATTTTGTATCTCACTCTGAATTAACCAGACAAACATATGAACTTTAACATTTTAAAACAGATCAATACTTATGAATGAAATGTTTGATCGAAAGATTAACATGATATTCTTACTGAGGAGAAAAGGGAATTCGTTTCATACATTCTCACTTCAATGAACTGACATGCTAAATCGTATGAATGAATGGGGTGTAATATGATGAAAGTGGATATATACAATGTGTTCAGATTTAATTAAATTCGTCTGTGACTTTTTTTAATGCCTCTGTTTCGATTTGGTTTTTCTTCTTCCATGAAAATGGCGACGTCTTTGTTTCTTATGACTTGACAATTTCTCACCTCGTCGCAATTTAGACAGTCGCCTATTTCGTAATGATGAACGCAAATTTCCTTTTTTCTTGTTTAATCCTCCGTTTCTTTTCTCTTTTCTATTTTCTTCATCTTTTTTCCTTTCCTCGTTTTTTTTTTCTTCGCCTTCTTTTTTTCCTTCCTTTAAATTTTTTCCTTTATATCTTTTTTTATTCTCCTCCTCCTCCTCCCCATCTCCCTTCTGCTCTTTGTCTTCGACATCATCGTTCTCTTCATCGCCGTCATCATCGTTCTTTTCATCGTCGTCCTCCTCATCGTAATCATTTTGATCACCGTCATCATCCTCATCATCCTCATCATCATCATCATCATCATCATCATCATCGTCACCGTCATCATCATCATCATCATCATATTCTTGCGAAACTCTTCCAGTAGACCTTATAGGCTCTGGAGATGGGGCGAGCAGCTGTTTTAGCAAATACCATTTGGACATTTTTTCAGTATTTTCTACGTTTTCTTTTTCCATATTCTTCATTAGATGATCATCATTTGTCGCATCCGTCTTCAATTCACCACGAAGTTTTTTCATTCCCTTCATTTGTTCATTACCATTTTGTTCTTGTTTTATTTGACTTTTTTGATTAGCATCAGTCGACTCAGGAAGTATGCCAAATTTACTGAAAATAGAACGGAAACGTGATTCGATATTAAAAAGTATTCAGTATTAGATAGATAGATAGATAGATAGATAGATAGATAGATAGATAGATTTGCAAACACTAATTTGCTTGTGTTTCTTTTGTATAATTCTAACATTATTATGTGTCATTGGAATATAATTTTAGTAGTCCCACATATTACTTAATTTTAAAATATACTGACCTCACTAAATGTTGACTTTCTTCCAGGAAGAGAGAAAAGAGTAAGATGTTTCCATGTACCTATATAAATTTGTTTTTATAATCTACTAAAACAATTTAAAGGAGGATATTCCCTAGATATAAAAAAAAACGACCGAGGAAGTAGGTTCGTCTTGGTTTGTGCTAAATCCCTGATTTATACTGTTAAATACTTTTAAATTCACCTATAATGTTATTATTTACCAACACTTAAACGCAAGAAATTTGTAATAATAAATAAAGCTATTTTATTTAAAATTAAAATTTCATTAAAACATATTTTATTTGCGGGAAGAGTACAACTAACAGTTGAAGTAATGTTTTATCAAATCCAACATGTCTTCTCTTTACCTAGTAAAGGATGTTGTATGATGGAGTTTTAAAAGGAATACACATAGCACCGACTTTATGTAATGCCTGCACAATGCCTACTCTTGGATGGAAAATTTTTATCAAGGTGGAAAATTATTTTAAAATTTAAACTTAATATATATTTTGTGTATATGAAGTTAAGTATTCTCTTACAGTCAGTATTGCTAATAGGAATTTATTTAGGCTACATCATTAATGTGACTTCATAGAAAGTCGCATCTGAAAAAAGTCTGTTTTTATTATTTTGATCATTATAAATTTAATCCAAATAAAACTGCTTACTCGACAGTAGACTGCAAGCAACAACTGAGGAACGACTTGGAGCAGGATGTTTGTGAATTTCGAAAAACTGGTATTTGGTAGTGCGAGCGCACAATGTTACAAAGCCTCTCAGCTGATTCTTTAGAAACAGTTTTCGGCAGCGAAAACCCTATCCGAAGCCCTTCAGTACAACAATCGCCATCTGATAGAATTAAATAAATAAATGATTAATTCAAGAATTTATTTCACATTCAATAAGTGAATATACAAAATGAATATAAGAAGTAATTACTGAAAATATCGATTTACAGTTATATTTGACTTGACATAACAATATAAAACCATGCTACCAAATGTGTTTTGAAACTCGAAAGCTGAAATAATGAATTGTTAAGGATTTAACGTTACACATTTATTATTTGTCAGTCTTCATCCTCAACTTCCATATCAATGCATTGATATGGCATTTAAAAAGACTTAGCAACAGATCATAATTTGGAACATTAAAAATTCAAAATAATCCAAAATGTTGAATATTTGTTGAAATACCAACTATCAATTGATATATGAAAGCCGAATTGAGGCGCCATTGGAAGAGTGACGACAGAACTAAGCTTTTTTACTAAAGCATACATAAAGGTTTTCGACTATGATTGAATATGTTTGGGACTCAACGAGAACTCAGTTATACTTAGTAAATATCTATAAAATCCAAACTCAGTTCGTTTATTGATGAAAAATATGATTAAAATATACATTTCTGTCCAAGTGCATCAGACGTCAGAAAATCACTTCTAAGAAAATATATTCTCTAAATGATAGTGAGGTTTGTCTTGACAACACGTGCTAGACAGACACAGAAAGATAATCCTAAAGTATTTATAACACTCTTTCATTGCCTATTACATCAATTCATCCGATTACTTTTTTCTCAGAGAATTATAAAACTTTAAATTTTTAAGAATATTTAGGAGATTTTATATTTTTGTTATTGTTGCCAGAAACAAATCCAACCATGCTGATTAGCTTACCAAATTTACAGACGTCGGTCTTCTAATTTTGGTATCTTTAAAAGAAAACTGCAGCTTCTTTTTTCCACCCAAGAGTAAAACTCAAAACACATTTGGTAGCTAAATATTAGTAATAACAAAAAAAAATTAGCTGCAATGAAAAAAGTTTATATAAAATAATTTAAAAACGCATTCAATTCTAAACAGGTACACTGTACCTTTCATCCGTTTCGAACCAAATGGATCTACTACAAGGTCATCTCTCATTCTCTGAACTTTTTTCCCACCCGTTTTTATGACATCATCGTCGGCGCTAGAACGGTCGACACTTTTGATTGAACTGACAGGCCGGAGCTGTTTCGAACCGGCACGATTCTTTCGACCAGCAGCTTTGCCTCTCAACGTCACTCCCTTGACTAAAACGGTCGTAGATGTTTCTGGAGCTGACCCAAACACACTTAGGTCGCTGGCCTAAATGCAAGATACGCATATTTTTGTCAACACAAACAACATGACATCAACAGAGAGAAAAATTATATCAATAACAATCAATATAGATATAGCAGAAGAAACAAAAGCGCCATAATGGAAAAGAAATTCAACCTCCATCTCATTTCATAGTTTTATTATCACAGTCAGGCATTTTTTATTGGAGAGTAATTAGACGGAAAGCGACGGAGAATATTCAATTTTATAAGTGCTTCAACAAAAATTAATAAGAAATAAAGTTCAAAAGATAGATTTTAAAATTAAAATTTGTTTAAACGCTGAAATAAATATTATAAATGCAAAGAGAATGATTACAAATTTCAACAAATAATTTCTCTAATTTATGCAGTTAAATTTTCAAAATAAGAAATGAATTTTACGAATGAAAAATATGTCTGAAAGTGATAAAAAAAGTAAAAATTAAGAGTTGACGTTTCTGATAGATAGATAGATAGATAGATAGATAGATAGATAGATAGATAGATAGATAGATAGATAGATTAAAAATAAATCAGTTCTTTCGAATGAAGAATACAGATATGTATTTGTTGTGGTGAAAGGAATTATTTCAGCACATAAGAATTATAACGATTATTTATGTCAACAAGATTGAACATAAAATAACAAAGATGAGATAGAATATTAATGTACTTTGTGTCCAACTGATAAATAAAATGGCACCCATTTTCAATAAAATTATAACTGATTATATCATAGCTATGTAGTTTAATTTGCATTAAGTATGCCGAATTGTTTTATTTTGTTATATATTGCATTTCTAATTTCTACGATTTTAAAAGAGTTTATTCTGCATTTTTATTTTTATTTTAACATTCAAGAAATCAATCATTAGAAAAATTATTTCTCAGAAAATATGGAAGAAATCATCTTTTTTCATTAACATAAATAGATTTGTTGAAAATACTTTCGTGCATATTTAAGACTTAGCAGTCATTCTAAAATTTAATTAACCGAATATTTCTAGTCTTTTATCATAATAAATATATAAAAATAATAATAATAATAATATATATATATATATATATATATATATATATATATATATATATATATATATATATGTATGAAAATTTCTCCGATTTAATCGGTAGAGAAGACAATATTTATGAATAAAAATGACAATAGGAAAACTGGTAATTGCTGACGCGTTTCGTCCAATGTGGACTTTATCAAAGCAAAATACGAAAATGAAATTAAATGAACAAAGTAACTAATAAAAACAAAAACAGAATGTACCTAGCAACTGGAATGTAGAGAAACGCTATTTTCATATTTTATAACTGAAAAATAACGTCAGAGATTGTCACGTGTGGAGAATATTGTCATTATATCTGTGTTGATGTATTCAACCATTTTCTTTCGATTTTATGAATCTGTTGTGCATATTTGTTTGTAAGAGCATTAATTTTGTTAAATTTTCTAGCAAGATTAATGTTAATTTTGCTTTGATAAATTCCACATTGGACGAAACGCGTCAGCAATTACCAGTTTTCCTATTGTCATTTTTATTCATAAATATATATGTATGTATGTAAACAAATATATGGATATAGATCAGACAGTATGAAGAAAAATATACGGAAAAAACAAACAAAAATCCTAATATGCAATTATGCTGTTTTAATGTTAATATAATGTCAACGTCGGACGTTTCGGTCTAGTAGACCATTTTTTCCGTATATTTTTCTTCATATATATATATATATATATATAGTCGAATCTATTCTTGTTATTTGGCTACAATGATTAGTGCATTTACGGCAATACTAGTGCTAGCCTGTTTAGTAACATCTGCTAATGAACTGACGAGAATAATCTCGAGTGTACACTTACCTGAAGCAATTTGATGTTGATGTAGTCGTTTAAGTCGTTAAATGGATCAGTTTCATCAAGAATAATCATGTTGAATTCACTTCTATCGTTCGTCTGAATGGAATTTTTACTAAAGCATGAATACCGGTCTTCGCCTATGATTGGAAAATAAAAACGAACAATAATATTTTTTTATGTGAATGATTCACAGACAATATTATTTTTACGAAATGTAAATTGTGTCACATGTCAAAGAATATCAATCCATATTTAAATGAAGTAGTCAATTTGCCACCAGTCCCGCTATTGTCAGATTGATTATCAAGTAATCAATATACTTTCTTATAAAATATTCGGATGTAAATATCAATAAAAATCATCATTTTCATCATGTACCTTACTAAAAATTCACTTAATACGATGATAATAAAAGAGAGAGAGAGAGAGAGAGACCTACCAAGTTCATGGCAGCACATTTCTTGTCTTTCTGCCATCCATGGAGAACGTAATTTCGTAAATGGTAGTTCCGGTTGGCCGTCCCCACACAACTGGTCAATACGCTGTCGCCGAATGTCAGAGAAGCATTCGAGATGATTGACTGGATCCTGAAAATATTAATCTTCAATTAGAGTCAAAACGCAACAAGACAAACCTAATTCGGAAAGATACTAGTTTTGTTGACTTCATTTAGTAAATTTGTTGAATTTGTTTCACTTAATAACTGTTTGTCAGAGACACTTTTGCGAGAAATTGCTTTAGAAATATCAGAAGATTCAGCGTTAGAAAATGACTTCGAAAATGAAATATCCATCGAAAAATACTTAAAATGATCAAAATATATTAAAAATTGAAAACACTTCTTTTATGATGATTAACCAATTTCAAAGGCAGAATCAATCTGTATTGACGCAATGAATTGTAAGAAGTTTCTTTTAAGCCCATATTTCTCCCATATATTAGAAAAGAGAATATTTTTCTCATCTAAACAATGAAAATTTATTTGAACTGATTTCAAGAATGATTTCTTGTGATGGGTGGCCTTTCTCTCTATGGAAGTTGCTTTAGTTGTTAATTTCAGTGTTTTTGCTGTTCAAAACCACTACAAAATCTCAATCAGTACACAATTGTGAAAGTAACACAAAGTTTAAGGATTCATAAATTTTTAGGATTTCTCTATTTTATTCACATAAATCTGTAATAATCGCATCAAGTCTTCATTGCATAGAAATTCAATATTGGGTTTAAAACTTTTAATAATTTTCTGTCAATATTTCTGCGAATCGAGTAGGCATATGAAGCAAAATGTAATTTGTAAAAATATGACTGTAAATGATATACATTTTTGTTTTCTCACTTTTTACATTTACAACCATTATAGACTTATTTATTTATTTACTTTGCTCGAAAGGTTATACTTTATCAATCAATTTTTTTTTTTTTTTTTTTTTTTTGGTGACACTATATAAGTGTATACAGGCATAGTTGTTTATTAGAAAGAAAGAAAGAAAGAAAGAAAGAAAGAAAGAGAGAGAGAGAGAGAGAGAGAGAGAAAAGAAATGTCTGCGTTTTGAATACATTTAGTTCACCTGAAATACTTATATCAAAACTTCAAGTGAGAGGAACTGTGATCAGATTATTTTTTTCTTTCTAAGTTCAAATGTAAACCATAAAAAATGTTTGTCTAAGTTCGGCTACCAGTGTTGGACATTTGGCATTTTGTACCATTGTACTGCAAAGATCAGTATGAGAACTCTCACCTTTAATCAAGAACTTCATCATCCATACAGTGGCACTAACATTGCACACTTTTCTCTTGTGCATATTATTTTTTACGAATATTTTAGTTTATTAAGTCTCTTGACAGTAAAGTGCGATACAAATCAATTTTAATGCTTTTCTGTCATCCACATAAGCTACTGATTCCCGAACTAATATTTCTTTTTATAACTACTGACATAAGATTTTGTAACATATACTTCGAAAAACAAGAAAATAATATCTACACACATTTAGTTTTATCTTGAATGTATTTTACTCTATATTGAATTAAACTATGTATTAGTAGACATCTTTATCAGTAGATATCTTTATTAGTAGATATCTTTCAATTTTTTAATCCATTTTATTCCTTTCATCATAATCATCTGAAAAATACAATTGACGTAACTTACTATCTGAAATGTTAACTCAAAAAGGCATTAATGTTTAGTAGAATAAAAATAAAATTAGATATTTTTATATCGATCAGAAAAAATGTGCCAAATGCTACGGTTTAAACCTTTGATACATTAATATCTAGATGTCACATGCTTCATTGCAGGAATTTTTCGCTCGTCTTAATGTCAATCCTTAAACCGTTTTCGGCAGTTATAAGTTGCAATTAGCAACGAACTTGAAGGTTGTTTTACTTAAAATCATCGTGCATAAGTGTAGGCAAAAAGTATTTTTAATTCCGCTATTTCATCTCAATGCAGAATGTTCTTATACTTGATGCGTTTTAATCATTTTTAACACATGATCTAATTTAATGTAATATTTTCCATTCCCGCCAAATAAATTATTATTATTTTTAAACTTATAACTCTGGTACGAACCTTCATTTGACAGCATTGCCGCAGAGCTGAACGACGTTGATCAAGGATAAGTTGCAGAATTTCCCATCTTGGATTATCCTTTTCCGGTTGGCTCATTTGACGATTTTCCAGAAAATTCGACGGCCAACGATTCTCTTCTGGGTTGTGTTGTTCTATTTGTTGGCAAAGGTGAGAAAAAGTCTCGACCTTCTGAAAGGCATAAACACAAATGTTATCGTTTAAAATGTTTTCATTCACTTCAAATAAAATATTAAGTTTCAAATAAAAAAATGATTTTTTTATGACACTTCACTTTCCTTCATTGGACCTATAAATACATTTGTAAACTTAGATATCTACCGCAGTTTGTGCATAAGCATTTTTCAATGTTCACAATTTACAATAATTTGTAGACCATAATTATATTGATTACACCATGTCGAGTCTCATACTGTTATTACTCCGACAGTGCAGATTTGAGAGCGGTTTGTTATTCATTCACTATGTCTCTTTTCCATCAGACATTGCAGAATGTCAATGACGAGAAATTTGATCAATTATTGAACTGTGTCTGAATTTCTATCGTCAGAGCGTAAATATAAAAACATTATATATACATGATCAAGAATCATTGGAGCTTTACTTAAGAAATTTCAAGTAATATTCTAAATCATCTTTTTTCGTTAGGATAATTACTCAAAATAACTTACATTTTTTAAAATTTCCTCTTTTGAATAATGTTTCGGGATTTCGAATGTTTCCGTATTTTCTGATGAATTTGAGAAATCTAAAAGTAAAAAGATTAATTCAAATATTATATTCCAGAAAACATCTGTACATTATTATTATTATTATTATACATCCTGCTATTTTCAATATTAACAATATTTTAAGTTAGCATTTCAGATATCAAGTTATGTCACATCAATATTTTCAATATATATTTGCTTCACTTTTTACCCATATATGTTGAAGATTTAAAGAACAAAATATTTTAAATAAAGTTTTAATACTATTGTAAATCTGGCAAATACATTTGACAGGAAGTTTATTTTGGGTTCATCGAGAAAAGCACCGTTTATAGTATAACTATTGAATTAAGATGTGACTGACTTCAAAATCGAAACAGAAGTATGAATCTTTGACTCATTTACAAATGCAAGACATGTGGATAAACAAACAGGCGCATTTTCTACACCAACTGATTGACGATACTTTATTTTTATTAGCGAATTAAGAAGATGCAGGCGAATCTATAGATTTCCCAGTGTTTTGAAATGAAACTCACAATATATAATATTGGTCGAGTTAAGTTCTTTTAAGTTCTATGATCTATCTATTATGATTGATCTTTAATAATTGTAATCTAGAACAAATCCAAGGCCATTACAATCACGTTTAGTTCAGATTTAAAGAAAAAGCAATATAATAAATACTTTACCTCCTGAACAAATGACTTTCGAGAGCAAATCTCTTTCTGCTTTGTCATCATCTGCATAGTAAAAGCCGAGGCTAGATCTTACAATAACTCTGCAAAAAAATAGCTAACATGTTTACAAATTATATATATTTCATAAATATGGAAACAGGTAAGAAAGCTTTCATTATTTTCATTATAGAACTTAAAATTATACATGATGGCATAATTAGAATACAGAATAATTTCGTCTCTGTACTTAAGTCCTATAATGTCCTATAATCCCTATAATTGCATCAAGAATTTCTACTTGTAGTGGTTATCAGAAAATACGAAACTGTTATAGATAAGAAACATAGATTAAAAACTATTTAATTAATTAAATATAAAGCGGTCTCAATTGAGTTAGTTTAATTGTATAAACAAAAAGAGAATAGCTTAATACGTACCTAACGTGTGCACAGCCGCAAGAAGGAGCAACCCACCGGAGTCGGACCCTTTTCATAGACACCTTCTTTCCAAAGCTGACTACACTGGTACAGTGGGCAGGTTGATAAAGATAACTATTAGACTTCACCACAAAATGACCATTGTCGCATTCAGGATTTGTGTTATTGCTTGTCACAAGAAGATCGCTTATGGAGGCGCTATAATTTCTGCTTTTCACAATTACTGCAGAAAAAAAAGGTTGTTGTGGAATTAAGTAAATATAATAATGAGTTATAGTTACTTAGACGTGTCACGCCAATAGTTATACATAATAAACGCTCTTTTAAATGTTCTTCAAAATAAAAACAAATACCGATAACCGATGATACTTTGATGATGAAAATATCTTTTGAAAAAATTTCAAATGTTCAGAAATGTTCGTCTTCAAAAATACTATTATTTGATTTAATAATATAAAATTCATGGTTAAATATGATGAATTTTATTTAACTTTGCTTTAGACAAATAAAAATATGCAAAAATATAGCAGCAAAATTTCAGTCATCGGTCTCCGATGGCCAAAGTTAAAATATTTGTGAATTACTTTTGACAAATATTTAAGCATTTGCCGTACTGACATAAAGCTTATTTATTTTAATACGCATACGCCAGTGAGTCTTTTTGTAACGATTTTTATCAAAATGTCTGCACATTCTCTTAACAATAAAAACGAAGCTGAATAAAGAATACAGATTAAATTTAAAACTGTCGCGAATATAAAAATATAATAAGTGATTTTTTTTCTTTTACAGTGGTGTTCATCCTGTACAAGGCCCGGAAGCCACTCGAGGTCGAAGGTTACAGAGTAAGGGACACAGCTATGCGCATATGAATGGAAGATAACGGTTAACGCTATACTTGGACAGGTTAAGATTGTAGTGATCTTAGGAGTCGGTTCCACATGGAAGTGGTTTGTAAGAAGAAACTGATTGATTGGAACTTGCATCTCACCAGAGGAATAGGAAGGGAATGAGGGTGGTTCACTTGAATGTGCGTGGGTTAGGGTTAGGGTTTTAGCAGCGAGAGTTAGGACTGGTGAAACTAAAGAGACACTCCTTAGTTCTACCATATGAACACTATCCATGGGAATAGCGATAGATTAGCAAGAGGTTTGCGACGTCTCGTCAGTGAGAAAAGGGTTGCAGAGTGGAAAATAATTCGCCACCTACAATGACTCGGAGACGCTTTTGGGCTCTATAGAGAATAGAGAGTGAAGACTGGCCAGTTCCCGCCCATATATATGGCAGCAGTACTTCATTTTCGGTCTGATGTGGCTCTTGTAAAGGAAGAGGTTAGCAGGAGGGATGAGGAAATTGCTGGAGCAGTACAGGGAACAGTCAATTTTTTCAGCATCTTTTGCAATGGATCATATGTACGTATTCCACTTGAGGTCTGGGTTGAGTTTAAGTTCTAATAGGCGCTCAAAGTATAGTGCTTTCCTAAGGAAAGATCCGTGCGTTACGATTGGTGAAAGTTCTGGGTCTCATCGGCGAAGGTGGAAAGGCACTGATATTGGTTTTTGAGGCATCGAATATGACCAACCAGTGTTTTCTCCCACTGAGCTGCTAGAGGTAGGTCAGATGAAATATCAGATGCCAAACTCAGGTCATCGAGGATTTTGGAGGGGCTCCGTTGTATCATCAGCATAGATATTCACAAATGATTAGAATATACTCTTTCACAGATCATTTATATAATGGAGGCAGGGTGTTGGACCGAGAAGCAAACATTGGGGATCGCCCGCGTTCATTGCCGAGGATTCAGAGGAATGGCCTTCTCAATGTGTAAGAGCCACATATGTAAAGATTTTTTGTAAGAACTGATATTATTATTATTATTATTATTGTCATAATCACCACCATACTTTTGATTTATTCAACTTGTAACGCATTTGAAATATTTCTGAAAAATAAAAAACTTTCATACGCTTATTTATGTTAAATAAGCATACACGTGCGCGTACGCACACATGCACACGTATACACACGCGTCTATACGCAATAATACATTAAACTGTCAAAATACATATGCTCAAAAATTGTATTCATTCAAAAACGAGGCCAGGTTGTGACACAAGTTCGGTTTAATGTGGGGAGCCCGAACACATCGGTTGCGCTGGCTTCGATGTGAGAACCGATCCCTCTCTCTGGTGCAATGAGAGGCCGCGGCCTCGGGCAGCTGTTCCCCAGCATCTCTCAGTATAATTTTCCTCAGTTGCGACTCTGTCCTTTATCGGAGTCACCCCATGAGCGCACTCTGCGCAAAGACAGAGATACAACTGACAGATGATAAATAATGTGTTACAAACTACTCGAGAGAGTAACTTACACACTAAATATATATTCAAAATATGCAGTAATTTTAACTCACAGTCGTGGGGTGTCTCGGCGATGTAACCGTTTGAAGCATTTCCAACATCCAACCAAAATAAGTCTTTGTTTTCTCTCAGATCTGACCAATCAAATTGCCAAGACGCAGGACACTGTTGGGCTGCTGGTGCACAATTTACTTTATTCCAAGAAAAAGAAAACAATTGTTGCTAAACAAAAATTCGACTCAGCTTTATCTTATCTAATATTTCTGAATTCGTTACGATTAGTGAATATCGTAGATTAAACATGAACGAAAACATTTAGCAAAAACTGTCAACAAAGATGTTCTTTCAATTTGATATTCACAACAATTGACAGCTTAATATTTTTGCTTTAAATTAGTGCAATGAATTTAAATGTTTTGTATATTTGTCGAAGAAAACTAAAAATATGTTGAAATGATATTCATAAATCATTCATTAATTAGAATTTTTAGCTTATTAAGGAGAACAGTAATTTGAAGTAAATTTTCAAATATTGTTGTTTTTTTCTTTAATGAAAAGGTGATTTCCCAGTCAAAAAGTCATTCACATAGACTAAGACAACATATACAAGGAACCGCTATATATGAAGGAATCTGATGTTCAACCGACCATAGGACATCATCTAATTATTATTATTATTAAAACTTTGGCAACAAATGATTTAATACTTGCTGAAATTTGATTTGAATTGTTAGATATGGATAAAAATTTGTGTTGGGTCAATATAAAAGGTGTCCCTAAAATCTGGACACATAAATCTCATTAATTTTTTTTTTTTTTACTTCCATTATATATATTATTATATATTTTTTTTTTACTTTTTGGTTTTGTCGAAAGAAGAAATAATTGATTTCTTTATCTGTGGTATACTAAAGGAGAAAGTGTACTCAATGAAAACCACAGATGCAGCACACTTGATTGAAAGAGTGAATGTGCTAAAATTGATAGTATTGTGGAGTTATTGCATCGAGTTCACATGAATCTTGTAAAGCGCATAAACATTTGCATCACAAATTATGAAAATCATAATCAAAATGTTGCTTGTCAATATTAGAACTCAACAAAATGTTGTTCAACATTTCATTTTTTGCAAATATCCATTTTGGCCTATTGTGTCCAGACTTTAGGGACACCGTTTATTAAGAGTATGAAAGAAGGAAATAATTTGTAATAAATAAATGTTAAAAATACTCAATGAAAGATATCAATAAATGCAAAATACAAGGGGTCCAATAGAAATTATTAAAATCCTTTCCGATCAATTTAATATTATAATTTTTTTCATAATCTCACTCTGACATGAAATTGCTTATTTTAATATGAGAGCATTATTAACCACTAAGTAAAAATAATGAAACGAACTGCGTGTTAGAAAGAATCATTCAAAAAGGAAATAGCTTACATACAACTTATGTCATTAAAAATAACTGTACATTCATATTTCTAGAATAAACGTGATATTTTCTTCTGAGAAAAACTATGCATGTGTTAAAGAACTTTAAAGTCAAATTTTAATCTTCTCATATTAATTAATGATAAATTTGATGTTACTCAGACATACAGAAATAGAAAGAAACTGTAAGCCATCAGAAAATAATGAAACCCGGTAGAGAAATAACCGATTGCAAACACAATTGATTCTTCACGTAGAATTATTAAATATTTTTATATTGTTCAATGGATCATTGAACAGCAACAGGAGAAGTCCAAATTGCTTTAATATCTTCTATGCATAAGCTAAGACTACGCATGAAACGAATATATATATATATATATATATATATATATATATATATATATATATATATATATATATATATATATATATATATATATATATATATGGAATCTTCCTATAAAGTATACACGGTGGTTTTCAGGAATTTTCAGAAAAAGCAAAATAAATTAATTAATTAATAAATATTTTGAGGCTAATATTATTTAAAATAAAAGATAAAATCTAAAATAGGTTTTACAAAATTTTATAGTATTTATGAACGTCTTTATATGATAAAACTTTTGAAATTTTAGACGAAAACATTAAAGTCATGAAAATAATGAAATGATAAAAGAAATACTCACTTGAGACGATTAATGATGCAAGAAGACACAGGATCCAACCAGGCATAGGTGTTGAGCGTTGACTGAGAAGTTTAACATTTGATTCAACCATAATGTTAGGTTGTTTCACACAGAGAAAGAATGAATTGATTAGAAAGGCCACTTGCTCGTCACAAGAATGCAACTGAGCAGATAGCAAGAGGGTTGTGTGCGTCGAGGATTCTCAATCAGTTCTTATAAAAGGTCCCGACACACCCTCAACTCCCTAAAGTTCTTAATAACGTTGCCTTGATCATGAAGGAGACACGTGATGTCACTAAATGTGCATGAGTGATCCCATGTGTATGACATTCCTCTGCACGTTCTTTCCCCAAATACTACCCCCCCCATCACACACACACGCATCTATGGGTGAAGTGAAACCTGTGTGGGATAAACAATGACCTATCATTTCTATTTTTAATTTTCACTTTAAGTAGTACCCGGATGCAGAGGAAAGGGGAGTTGAGAATATTCTCCGAGTAATCGTTTTCAACGCATCGCTTCTTTCTTTTCTTACCTATGCACGTCACTGATGATCTCTCTCATGATCTCTGAAACCACACCCCACAAAATTCGTTACTACCACCACACGTAGATCAGCTCCAATAATTGTTCTCAGTGATCTACATATATCCATTGGAATGTTATTTTTTCATATTCTGCTATCTAAAAAAAATGCAACGGGAGATTTCAAGAATAAAAAAATGAAGGTTTAATAGAAATGAAGATGGACAATTCTAATTGTAATTCTAAAATAGTCACATGTCATTCACACGCCGAACATAGTTGAATTAAGCAAACATATTGTGTAAGTAAATAAAACATTAAAACATGTATATGTGACTTTTACATCACAATACTATAATTTGTTATTTATAATTCGGCGGTGAAATTTGTTATTTTTAATTCGGCGGTGAAATGACAACCGAATAATATGAACCCAATATGAATCTTTACGTAAATCATTACATGCATTATCAATTATATCACCATTGTGCATATAGCTCTTCAAATACTCTTTATGCACGCAGTTTAAACAGTTGCTTTATAAAATATACAATTCAAATATTTGTTTTTAATAACTATGTTATAAGTCTTTTTTAAGAAACGTATTATTGCATATGCAATAATATCTGTTTATGCATCCAATATTGCAACAGGAAAAATAATCATAAGAGACTCCTTTCTGACTTCAATCAGCATGGCTGATACTAACCTCCACGAGAGTGACTCGTCTCAGGCTAACGTTCTCTGCTGACATGAAGTGTAATTGAACTCATTGCTAGGTATGCTGGTAGGAAAATTTGTTCTTACTAGATAGTTTTTCTCTCCAGAATCTATCTTACATATTTATAAGTCTACAATTCGTCCATGCTTAGAATATTACTGCCACATATGGTATGGTGTCCCTGCTATACATTTAAAATACCTGATAAAATCCCAAGAAGAATCTGCAATGTAATTGGCCCTGATCTGGCATCCTGGCTTCAATCATTTTACCATCGCCTTAATGTCGCTTCCCTGTGCCTTTCCTATAAATACTTCCATAGTAATTGTTCTGATTTCTAATTTGTTTCTAAACATTATTAATTTAAGAGCAGTACTAGATTGGCAACAAGGTCCCATCATTTTAGAGCTGAATTGGCTAGATGCAACCGTAAGTTCTTTGCTAACAGTTTCTTTTATCGCACTTCTCGCCCGTGGATTTCTCTTCTGACTTCTTACTTCCAAGCCAACTTTGCTCTTCAAAAATTTAAATGCACTGTCAATCGTTATCAACTTTCTTTTGATTCCCCTTCTTTTATTGTCGAACGCTCCTTTATATTTTTTTCCTTTTTCTTTTATTCTTTCACACTCAGTAACCCCTTTCGTCTTAGCGATTTTATAGTCTTGCTTAGGGTGAAATGATTTTTGAAAAAGTTATACCTGTGTGAGTATAAATAGAAATCAATTATAGATTATAATAATCATCAGTGAAAAAAAACTAAAAAGCTAGAGGACAAAATGTGTTCCGAAACGGAGTATTAAAATCAAGCAAAAAAGCGATAATTCAGGTATTTAATGAAAGACAGGAAAAATCCTGTAAAAGAGAGAGAGAGAGAGAGAGAGAGAGAGAGAGAGAGAGAGAGAGAGAGAGATTCACAATACCAAGAATTCGTGAAAAGCAATAAGGAACAAGAACCACATGATTCGGATATGCAGTCTTTTCTCAGGCTGCTTCGTGACTAGATCTAATGTTGAATAAACTTTTTTTCTGTTTTCCTAAGGTGAACATGTGTTTTTGAAGTTTACTCAGAAGAATTGTTCATTAAAAAGAGATACTTTATTTTGAGGAAAAGCTGCAATGAAACACTAAAACTTATAAGAACGATGCAGTATATGCAAAAATGTCTTCGGAATTATTTGCAAGTTTTAAAATATATTTTGGGTTTCAAGACAAAATATACATTGGAAGAAGTCTCAACTTGAAAACTCGTGAACAGGAGTGATTTTTTTTAATTTGATGGAGGTGAAATAACAAAACAAAAACACCACTTGAAGGTTTACAACATTGAAACAACTAAAATGTGTTTTACATTTAATAAAATTTACAAAGTAATCAAAATCTTAAAAGCGCGGGCATGAAAGAGCGAGAATGCAGATTTGAGAAACCAGTTTCACTGAAGAAATATTTTAAGAGAAATATTTTATTAATTTCGACTAACAGTAATACTAACTGTTCAGTCAATAAATGTCATATGTTTCTTGTATGTGAATTTTATTAAATGCATCTTTATGTGGCATCAATGAACGCCGAATGTTTCTTCGTAAGCAAATGCTTAATCTCACCGTCACCATCATGGATTTTTGTTAAATAAACATTTATGTGACACTTTGTTTGCATAATAATATATTTCACGTACAAAACAACGTATTTAGTAAAGATCTCTGTTATAAGGTAAAATTTACCCGTTATATTCTCGTATAAGTCAGTTATGTACCATGCGTGATACACACGATCATGTATCTTTTGATAGAGGCAGATTTTTTTCCCGCAGTAGGTTACCATTTCTTCCTGCGGTAGACCAATTGCCATACAGGGCTATAGAACCCGGTCTGCCCTGCTATTTTACCCATAGCTGGGGGTAGAGAGAAGAGGATTAATACCTTCCCCAAGGGTATTAGTACGTAAATGATTTGACTGGAATCCAACTGGAATTCGAACTCAGTACATTCTGAAATTGTTACCAATATCGTTTAGCTAAAAGTAATTTAATTTTAAAAGATTGACTTTTCTACTAAAATCGTATATATAGTGAATAGTGTTACAATAAATTCTGGTATTAGACAGGGATATGATTTACTGATTTTTATTTACCTTTACCCATTGACAAAACCAGTATTATTCCGCTGTGCATTAACAAACATAATATTTTTGATGGTAGAAGAAACATTTGATAATTAAAATTTGAAATGTTAGATTTTTACGTAAGATTTGTTTGAACAATTTCCGGTTCTTGAGCAGTAAATTTTGAATTAACACCAAAAGGTCTGTTGTTGTCAAAGATCATGGAATTAATGCAATCACAACTTACAAGATTATTATTAATATTATTATTATATCAGATAGGAAGTCGTGCAGAGCCATGATCGTCATACGTTCTGGAGGGGTAGAATAGGTAGAAGATTTTTATTATTATTTGAGTAAATGTACAAAAATCATATTTTTTAGTATGGCATCCTTGTTGAACCGAGAATTTTTAGCACACACTCAGATATAAATACACACACACATATATATGTGTGTGTGTATTTATATCACATATATATATGTGTGTGTTTGTGTGTCTGTGTGCGTTTGAGCGTGCGTACTTTGCTAAGAAATCTTTTGCTTTTAAATTGAATAAATTTCAAGTAGAAAGTTGTGGCGAGCCATGATCGTTCTCATCTAGAATGGCTATAACATATAGAAGATTATTATTATTAATTGATTTAATGAACAGACATCAGAGTTTGGTGTATTTGTTGAAACGAAACATTTTCAGCACCCTCTCGTGTATATAGACACCCAAATATATACATATATGAGGGATATCTGTGTGTGTGTGTGTGTGTGTGTGTGTGTGTGTGTGTGTGTGTGTGTGTGTGTGTGTGTGTACTATGAGCAAAAATCTTTTGCTTTGAAGCTAAATAAAAAGCATTTATAAATTAATTCCAATATAAAAATTCATCTGAGTGCTACATAGATACATAGAGGGAAAAATAAAAATAAAATACCGAATTATATATTTGTGGGTAATTTGATGTATTGATAAAATAAAGTTTACTTTCTTTTCCTAAAGTGATTCTAGTGAGATAGAAATTCTATCATAAATCCTCATACAGAAGATGCGTTTGAAGTTTTTAGTTAGACTTTTTTGGGAGCGCATCTATAAATTTTAAAAGCATTGGTGCTAAGCATATGAAGAAACATTTTGCAGTGATATTTTTCTGATAAGGAAAATTGAAATTGTTTGTCTTTAGCTGACATTTCTCTCTTCCAATAGTTATTACTCTTGTGAGTTGTGCATCTCCAATATCCATTTTTTTTTTTACATTGGAATTCCGGGTTGTTGCTGTTTTCTTCTATGTAAGCGCTAATAAAAGAGAAAACATATAACAAAAACAACACAACGAAAACATCAACAAAAACTCAAGCAAAAAACGAAGCAAATCCGCGAGACGCGTTTGAATCTAAGTTGCCGACAATTTTTATATTTGGGTTTCAGTTCGCGTTCAGCATTGTGTTTTTACATCGATAATTTTCACATATTAGTGTTTATATTTTTGCCTATTTATCTTGTTACAACTTCATATTATTTACACACACACACACACACACGAACATATATACATAAACATATATATATATATATATATATATATATATATATATATATATATATATATATATATATATATATATGTGTGTGTGTGTGTGTGTGTATATATATATACCTATCTATCTATCTATCTATCTATCTATCTATCTATCTATATATATAT